GGGAGGTTTGAGGGTTGGCTAGTTTCTGAGGGCCCCCTCCCTTGGAATGCACCCTCGCCCCTCAGCGGTGCAAAGGTGTGGATCCCCAGGCGGCAGGTTCTCAACCTCCCGCTCAGCAGAGGGGGCAGCAGCCGCGGCGGGGGCACCTGGTCCAGCACTGGGAGCAGAGGGCAGAGTGGGGAGCTAGGGAGAGGCTCATGCCCACCACTGCTGGCGGGGGGTGGGGGGCCACGGGGGACACGGACACGGACTGCTCAGCAGTCTGAGAGCCCACACTGTCCGGGCGCAGACACACCCACCGCGGGCCTGCTCCATCTCCTCACTGAGGTCGCTGAGGTCTCCTCCCAGTGTTTTGTTTTGATCTGTTTTAATAAAGGAAGACGCCGAAGTACTGTCCTCAAGAAAACCTGACAGTGACAAATTACTGAGTGCCCACTACGCGCTGGGCACTTTCCTGGGGGCTGGGTGTGCCCTGGAAGAAGGTGGGGACTCTTCTCTTGAAGGAGTGAGAATGCAGGTTAATCGTAGTTAATTCTCACAACCAGGCTGCCAGGTAGGTAGGATTGTCCCCATTTTACAGCCGAGGAAACAGACTCCGAGAGATGAGTGTCCAAAGTCCCCTGCCAGCCCGGGCGGGCGTGGCTCAGCGGATGAGCATGGACCTAGGATGCAGGCGATTGGGGTTCGATTCCCGGTCAGGGCACATGCCCGGGAATGACTCTCTCATCATTGATGTTTCTATCTCTCTTTCTCCCTCTCCTTTCCTCTCTCTGAAATCAATAAAGAAATATTTAAAAAACAAAAACAAAAAAACAAAGTCCCCTGCCAGGCTGTCTGAGGCCAGACTCCAGCCCTGCTTTCTGGCCCCCAGGTGGCGCCCTTTCCACCCACCTGCCCCCAGACCCCGCATTCCCACAGTCCTGCTCTCCCAACTCCCGCCTGGCAGGCAGCTCCCCAGCTGTGTGCTCGGGCCTCAGTTTCCCCACCTGAGAAACAAGGGGGCGGACTGCACTGGAACTTCCACAGAGCACGGGCCCCAGGGGGCTGGCTCGGAAGGGTGTCTGGGAGTTGGGAAGGGCCACATGGTATTTAAGTTCTGCAATTTAAAATCTGTCTGGCTCTAATTCAGTTTCCCTCCCAACTTTCCGGCCCAGTGGTCCTCGCCGCGGATAGCGTGGACGCCCCAGGGAGCGCGGGCGACTATGGAAATGTGCGCAGAATTTATTCTGCGGGGCCACCGGCAGCAGGAAAAGCGCTCGAGCGGCTCTTGAAGGGTGAGTCAGGACCCGGTGGAGGCGGAACGGCGCGCGGCTCAGACCCTGGACAGGGGGGCGAGGTGCCCGTCCCAGGGAGTGGCAAAGGGCCCGACGCGCAGGACAGATGGTGACCCTGAGGCCCTAGGCTACAGGCTTGTCCCTTCTGAGGTCGAGCAGAAGCCTGTGGGTTTTCAAGGGAAGGAACAACGCGGTCGGGGTTGCGCTTCGGAGAGTAAATCTGGCCGCACCTGACAGCCGGAGCTTGGCAGGGAGGCGGGGAGACCAGCTGGGGGCCATGGCGTGGGTCCAGGTGAGCGAAGCAGACGTGGACAGGAGCAGCGGGGAGGGGTGCAGAGGAGAGCGAGGTGGGTCCCCGGAACTTCTGATTGTGCAAGGTGAGAAAAAGAGGGAGTCACCCAGCCTGTGTGGCTCAGTGGTGGCGCATTGACCTATGAACCAAGAGGTTACCGGTTGGNGCTCAGACCCTGGACAGGGGGGCGAGGTGCCCGTCCCAGGGAGTGGCAAAGGGCCCGACGCGCAGGACAGATGGTGACCCTGAGGCCCTAGGCTACAGGCTTGTCCCTTCTGAGGTCGAGCAGAAGCCTGTGGGTTTTCAAGATAAGGAACAACGCGGTCGGGGTTGTGCTTCGGAGAGTAAATCTGGCCGCACCTGACAGCCGGAGCTTGGCAGGGAGGCGGGGAGACCAGCTGGGGGCCGTGGCGTGGGTCCAGGTGAGCGAAGCAGATGTGGACAGGAGCAGCGGGGAGGGGTGCAGAGGAGAGCGAGGTGGGTCCCCGGAACTTCTGATTGTGCAAGGTGAGAAAAAGAGGGAGTCACCCAGCCTGTGTGGCTCAGTGGTGGCGCATTGACCTATGAACCAAGAGGTTACCGGTTGGATTCCCGGTCAGGGCACATGCCCGGGTTGCGGGTTCGATCTCCAGTCGGGGGCCTGCAGGAGGCAGCTGATCACTGACTCTCATCGCCGATGTTTCTATGTCTCTCCCTTTCCCTTCCTCTCCCTGAAATCAGGGAGGGAGGGAGGGAGGAAGGAAAAGAGAGTCAAATTGACGGAATTATCTAGGGGAACAATGAGGCCTCCTCCCTAGTTAGGGGACAAATGTGAAAGAGACGGCATCTGCTCAGCTCAGGGACACGCTGCCCCCGAGGTGTCCGGGCCTCCGGGAGGCAGTGGTCAGGCGAGGCTGGGCGCAGTAAGGAGCCGCCCCAAACCCAGGGCAGGCGTGTTCCGCTCAGCCACAGTCTGCTGCAGGCCAGGCGCCCCCTCCACCCGGGAGCTCTGCCGCCGGGAACGCGAGGCCGCCAAGGTCACTGGCAGGAGGCGAGAGCGGAGAATCACGCAGGATGTGCCGCGGGGGTCGCACCCGGGAGGCAGGCCGCTGCCCACATCCCGCTGGCCAGGGCCTGGGTTCGCCGTGCGGACCGACCGCGAGGGAGGCCGGCGAGTGCGGAGCACAGGACGCTCGGCCGGCCCTGCTCTCGCTGTCACACCGGCAGGGAGGCCCCGCCAGCCTGTGAAGCTGTTGACGGGGGAGCGGCAGGGCTTGAGACGGAGAGGTGGGTTTGACCTGCGCGTGCGGTCACTCGGGGAAAATACGCAGAAGGAAGCCGGAGACGCCGCGGGCACCGCCCCACAGCCCTCTGAGGAGGTGGCTAGGGATTCCCAGAGGAAGGCTCAAGATCGAGTCCAAACCTCTTGTTTTCAAATATCTGATGATTTGTTGTCGTGTAGGAAAGGCATCCAGGTTTTTCCTGATTTCTCCGTTTCCATATGGTTCCCTGGCGTCGCACAGCAGCCAGAGCGGTTGGCAAGCGTTTCGGGACCGCGCGGCTCCCCACCCCTCTCTGCAAGGCCAGGGCCCTGCGACGACGGATCTGCCCCGAGGAGAGGTATTCGAAGCCTTCCGTTTCAATAAACATCTCAAAAGGGAACTCACGGTCCTCCTGCCTTTAAGATTCATTTCAGAAATCAAAATTTTTGGCTACCAAATGGGTGAATGGGAAACTGACTTTTATGTAAATGCTTTGCACACTTAAATTTTCTCACCAATAAAATTTGGGGTGAAAACGTGGCATTAGGGATTTCAGCTTGGAGGTTAATGAAAGCTCCCTGCTTTCCCTGGGAAGGGCGACCGCCTGCCTCCAGACCAACAGGGGAGCTCGGGCTGGATGCTGCGAGGCCCTCTCCTGAGGCCCGTGTCCTTGCTCTGAGACTACAAGGGTCATGACTCTGACTGGGCCACTTTTCCCACTTAGCCCCAGAGCCCAGCACAGTTCTGGGCACACGGTAGGCACTTAACAAGTATTGAGTAGTAGATGGATGGATGGGGGCGGTGGATGGGGGCGGAAATGGGAGAATGGATGGAAACCCCCTAGGAACCAGACTGCCAAACTACAACTGCTGAAGTGAACAGCAACTCAGTGGAAGGCAAAGAGCACTGGATTGGGAGTCAGGAGAGCCGGGTTCCAGTGTCCACGCTCCACTGATGGAGCTTTGAGAACGTGGGAGAATCCCTTCCCCGTGGACGCTGAAGTATTCCTCCTCTTCTGAGGGGGGTCTCATCCACGGTCAGCCTTCACAGCCTCATATCCACCGCTTTCCCCACCTCCACCCTCCCGAGGAGCCTGAACTCTGCCCACAGCATCTCCAGTTGGAAATGCACTTCAGGGAGGCAGAACTTCCACTGACAGTCAAGTGGAGAGGCTGGCAAACCCTCTCTCCAAAAATCAATTATGAAACTGCACAAATTGACAGAAACAAGCATTTCCATATTCTAGAAATCATCCAAGAGCATGCAACAATCTGAGAAGTGTTTATGCTTGAACACCGCTGAGCTTCATGCAGCAACAGTGGGAGTGCCGCATTCCAGCCTGGGGCGGCTCCCACAGCCCCCTCCCGGCGGGGGACTCGGAGATCCTGCAGCGTGGGGCAGGCCATGGGGCCGGCGGCTGCAATGCCACGGTGAAGGGCAATCATACAATTGGGAGCAGTGGACAACGCCCGTGCCCAGCAGCACTGTTGGGGAAAACGGTCATCTTGGAGGTTGTGTGGAAGGGCTGTGTGCCTCCGGAAAGGGTCCAAGCGGGCCAAAGAGTCCCAGCTGACCCTAGGGCCTTATGTATACACATAGGAAACACGAGAGCTAGTGAAATGTAAGAGCCAGGCAGAGTTGAAAACGCCTAAATGCTGAATGTGCTCCTCTACCCACATATAGGTCTTTGACAGAGGATAGAAGGCTTGCTGGCTCCAGGTATTTAAGAATAACCTCGGATCTAACGCTGGCTGACCTCTAAGCAAGGCAGGCACAGGGGTACAAAAGCCAGGCTTAAAAATGAAAATTAGTCCAGCTGGGCGTGGTTCAGCGGTTGAGCATTGACCTAGGATCCAGACGATCGGGATTCAATTCCCAGTCAGGGCACATGCCCGGGTTGCAGGCTCAATCCCCAGTTGGGGGCCTGCAGGAGGCAGCTGATCAATGACTCTCTCATCATTGATGTTTCTATCTCTCTCTCTCCTTACCTCTCTCTGAGATCAATAAAGATATATTTTTTTAAAAAAATGAAAATAAGCCTGGCCAGGGATGGCTCAGCAATTGAGCATCGACCTAGGATCCAGGCGATCGGGGTTTGATTCCCGGTCAGGGCACATGCCCGTGCTGTGGGCTTGATCAATCTCTCTCTCTCCCCTCCTGTCCTCTCTCTGAAATCAATAAGGACATATTTTAAAAATAAAATAAAATACTCTATATAAATTCTCTCAAAGACATAAGCAGTAATTATAACTTGCATTGTTGGGTTTATAACAAAAAAGATGTACTATGAATGTGACAATCATAGCACAAAGCGGAGGAAGGAAAGAAGCTATATTGCAACAAAGTTTCCACATTTGATGGAAAGTAAGCGAGTATCAATCCCAAATAGATTGGGACAAATTAAAACGTATTTTTTAGTCCCTAGAGCAACCACGAAGAAAATCATTCAAAATATGTTTTTTAAAAGGAATTAAAATGGGACATTAAAACTATTTAACACAAAAGAGAGGAACCAGACAGCAACAACAAAAACCCACAGGAGAAACAGAGAAAACAGCAAAATGGCCCATGTAATACAATGTAACATAAAGGACATTAAACGTGAATAGTCTAAACACCCCAGTCAAAAGGCCGACATTGCCAGACTGGATACATAAGCAAGATACAAATACACATATACTATGTGCAAGAGACGTTAAAAAAAAAAAGTAAAAAGAAAGGAAAAGAATGGTTGGAAGTGAAAGAATAGAACAAAGATATACCATAAAAACAATAACCAAAAGAGAGGTGATTATTTTAATATCAAACAAAATAAACTCTAAGGCAAGAAATATTACTAAAGTCAAAGAGGGACATTTTGTAGGATAAAAGAGAGACTATCGGGAAGATATAAAAATTATAAGTGCACACGCCCGTTACAACAGAGCCGCAACAGACACGACACAAAAACTAGTAAGGCTGAAAGGCCCAACAGGCAATTCAACGATAATAGCTGGAAATGCCAACATCCTGCGGCGGCCGGTTGGACAGACTTGAGCAGAGCCAGGGGGATGCGCCGGGTGAGAAGGTCACCAACGGGAAAGCCCCGGGTGCCCACCACGGGGAAAGCTGGGAGAGCAAGGCCCTCACCCGGGGTGACCTTCCCTCCCCGGCGTGTCCCCAGGGAGCCAGAGCAGCCCCCCGAGGAGGCTCCCCTGTTGCTGCTTCTGTGCTGGGACCTTCCTTGTTCCACTGTCCCCAGCTTCAATAAATGTCCCATCTGAGAGCACTTTCGCTGCGGCCAATAAACTCTTGTTTTGCTGCACTTTGTCTCTTGACCGAAATCTTTCCTTCAAGAAGACAAGGGCCGAGGTCTCGTCACCCCACCAGTAACAACCCCACTCTCAATAATTAATAGAACTAGATTTTTTTAAATCAGCGATGGTCTATATAGAAGACTCGAATCCACCCTTGGACCAGAACGATCTGACGGACGCAGCGACTTCAGGGTGCATGTTCAGGGACAGTCCTCCAAGATGGACCATGTGCTGGACCAAAAAATGAGCCTCGATAAATGTGAAAACACTGAAGTCACGTAAGGTAGGATTTCTGACCACAGTGGAATTAAATTCGATATTAACGCTTTCATGGAGCCCCCACGTGAGGCCACAGCGTGAATCCCAGCTCCACATACGGTCGGGTCTGCCTTGGGACCTCCGGCGGCGGGCGGGAGGGCTGGTTCTCCCTGCTGGGCACACTGCAGAGGG